TCTATGCTACAGAGTACAGGAATGATAAAACAACCTACCAGGCCAATGTCCTTGCAGTTATACTTTAAGTTTACTAGGCTATTGAAGCACAGGACTTTCAGATGTGTTGGAAAGGTCTTCATAAATCAGTGGCATTTATTAGGTAGAACTGAAGATATGTATGTTCTGTGAAGAGCTCTAAGACAGTAGTGGTGTTCATCACCCAAGCATGCAGTAAAGCTAAGAATCCACCTACCAAAACATCATCTATACCAGATTTGTAAAGATATCAGTCACAGAGTTTACTTCAAACAGGTCTGTGGGGGCAAAGAGTTATCCAGCTGACTCTTCAAGCATGTTTGGCAGAACAACCCAGCATGAATAGATTCCTGCCACAGCTAATACTACATCAGGGTGCCATAAGGGAGGAACTGGAAGAGCAACAAGGGTGTCTGGGCTGAGGATCATCACATGAAATGAAAAAAGGTTCATTGAGTAATTTTATGATGACTTCTTGCAAGAACCTTCCCTCCTCAGAAACACATATGCAAAAGAGACAAATGTCACCAGAAAGCAGGGGAAAAGAAAATCAGACTCACGAGATCTGTAGTAAGTTAAAGACTCAGGTCATCTGTTCAGCTATGTGGACACAAATACAGCACCATCTATAGCATTGCAATGCCATAGTAAAAAAAAAAAAAAAAAGATAATAAGCATTGATTTTAAATACAAAACTGGCAAAGAAATAAAAAGAGAAACACATAATAGAAAACTGAAAACAAGAAAAGTAGTACAGAGCAAAATTCCAAATTGAACAATGAAATAGACCAGAGACAGAACATAAAGAAGCAGTAAACCTGAAAGAAATAGGGAGGGCTCAGAAAACAATGTTAACACAAAGCTGTGTATCTATGGCTCTATCCTAGTAAAGGATGAGATGCAGAGTTAAATCACAGCATGCTGAAGTGGTAACTGAATTCAGGTCTAGCTTTCTCTGGGAAATGACTTTAACCATGTTATGCCATCAAGTTATAACAGCAACAGCAAAACTTCAGTAATCAGAGACGATATTACAGATACTTATATCTATGAAAGATCTGTAGTTTTATTCCTGACATGACACTTCAGACATGCCTTAGCAAAGCTCCATGAGAACAGGAACAGGCAGCTCCCTGTGGGCACCTCTGAGTAGCAACATAAGTTTTCTCCTGGATGGTATATGGAGTTTTGAATTCTACTCCATGAAAACCAGGTGCCCAAAATTGAAATTTTGTAATGCTTAATCAACTCAATCCTTAATTTAGTCTGGCTCTACTAGACGGAAATTCAACAAGAATCCAATTGCAATCTTTGATTTGGATTGGAAAATTCTGTCCATGCTTTAGTTATGATAGGTTTTCTGAGGCGTTCTCAAAAGTCCCAGCCCTGCCTCATAACCCGATTTCCATAAAATAAATGAACAATTCGACCTTAGCTCTAGCCCAGTCTGGATGTCAGAATCTCAGGTTTTCAATTAAAAGATTAAAATCTATTAATTTGCTAAAAAAAAGACCCAACCCAGAACAACCTACAACACCACAAGAACACAAACAAAATTGGACACAACAAAGGGTAGGCAACAGTCAAAGCAGAGCAGCAAAACTTGATCCACCGCCTGTGCAAAACTGGTAAGAATTCTTCGGTGAAGCCTGGAGAAAGAGAAACTCCACCCAGGCAGTGAAAATACAGATTCATTGTCAAAAAACCTCCCAAGATGGCAATCACACTATTATTTGTCACATGGAAGGTCTTCCCAGCTTGCTACTGCACAAAACAAAAGAAACAGTTAATGCAAGTCTTTAACAATAGTAGTCCAAGTTCCCGCATAGGCCAATTATTCATGTATGTATTCTTATGATCATTAATAAAATCTAAATCTTATCAATGCAACTGACTTGCAAAACCCATTCAAAACCCCATGGAAATACTTGACATTGCCTGTTTGTTTAGAGCTTTCTCATTACCAGGGCACATGGAAAATGCCCACAAGACCTGGACTTCTCTGCTGCTTATACTTCTGAAGAACAAAAAGCTATAGATAACTAGCTGTGAAATAATAGCAATGACAAATTTTGTAGCCATATTAAGAAATACTATCAAGAAGGACTATCTGGCAGGACAACATCCTGCTGGCTAACAGATCTAGGGAAGGAAACATAAGGGAAGTGTTTAATTCATTAAACTTAACTGGGAAATCAATAGGCTAATTTGAGCTTGAGAATTTTAGCTTCAGCATGGTCTTCTTGTGCTAAAAGTTACAGATCTACCAAACGATCAGACAGAAAGACACATGCATTAGAAAACCAATTCGTATGGAAAAATTATATCAGCAATGAAATAGAAGAAAAAATAGCAGTCAGCAGTTCATCTTCATCAGATCCAAAAGGGAATAAACACTGGATCATGGGGAAATGCATGAAAGATGCCAAAAGACCCTTGTGTAAAGCTATTCAGAAAAATATGACAAGTATGAAGAAATGAGGGAACCCATGAACCTTGAGTTGTGAATTAAAAAAACCTGTTTCAGTATTGGAGAGAAGATGGCATAATTAGTAGAAAAGAATGAAAGACTTTCTGGCTTTCTCCCTCTGTGCTAATGTTAGCGCCAGAAGAATGGATGGCTGAAGTGACACAACCTCTTCCTAGGAATTTTGTATACCCTGATTTAATCATCAAACTGATGTCTAATGTACATGCACAGATATAGTGTCATTGTAATTTCATTATTATTTGAGATTCACTGTCCTTCCATTATATGGCCGAAGGTCTGACACTACCATGTAGGACAACGATTTGAGAAACTGGATACCTTTAAGAAGTTGCTAGGCAAGTTACCATAATGTAAATGCTTCCGTCACTGTGCATTCAAACTGGGAACTAGGGGACAATGATACATTAAGCCTTAACAGCTGCCTATTAAATCAGACACAGTTTAGGCCTAATTATTTCTGGTCGCAGGCCAATCCTGTCCAGTTTACATTACTTGTAGCTGCTACTACCACACTGACCTCTATCTTGGTAACAACTGGCGTAACCAAAGTTCAAGCTGAGCAAACCAGCATGGCTACGACAGCCTGTGTAGGGGAGGGCTATCACAGAGAAAACCTGGAGCAAAAAGACCTCACCAAAACATATAGTGAAGACTTGTCTTTTCTAGAGGAGAACTTCCTCATGACACAAAAAAAGCAGCAGGCTCCAGAGTGACAAATTCCATTGTAGCTCCCCAATGGAGTTGACTTTAGCAGATGATCAGTCAAACCAAGAGAGGCAGAGGAGCTCGAAGGACTCTCTGCTTCTCTAGGCTGTCCACGAGCTGCACAAAAGTCTTGGTCACGTTTACAGAGGCTACAGCTACACAGCTAAATAGTAGTTTAAGACAATAATGGTCTGTCTATGCTATAATAATAGTCAAAGCAGATAAACATATGTTCAGTTCCTCTTTCTCAAGTTATTAGCAAAAGAACAATGTTACTGCAGCCATGTGTTAGATCTGTGCCTCTACATTGCATGATTTTAGTGTCATGTTAAATAATAACCAAGCTCCCATGTGGTTTTGGAATATTTAAGCTTTAAAAACATTGCATCCTTGGGAACAGACTACTATACCTATGAAGAGCTGTGTGCTAAAGACATGATTTAAACCACAGTAATGGACTAGAAGCTCCAAACAAAAGACAATACTTGACAGCTGTTTAGTGCCCCAAGTCTTCAGATCTGATGGCTGAACCCAACAGAGCACTTCAGTAAGCACTTAGCTCAGAAAATTGGTCTCAGATTGTGGCAGAGGCTAAAGACTTTCCCATTTCCTAAGCCCTTTCCTCCAGGATCATGCTCAGCTACCTTCACTTTTTAAAATTTTAAGTATGTCAGCCTTTAAACAAACTGTTACCCTACACCGAGTTTGTACAGTACAGCCAAAAATCCACATCAGCTCTGGACAGATTACTTAGGCAGAGGAAATACAGTTTAGTGATCAGAACCCAAGCCTGGCAGTAGCAGCAGGTTTTCTTCTTATTAGACTTTGAGCTTTTCTTCACTGAAACGTGATTCTGGTTATAACCCAATAATGCCTCAGCTCCCCCCACAAATATACCTTTAAGTGCGAGACTGCTGAGTTTAAGGCCCTCAAGTCTATACACGGAGGTAAATGCTATCTCAAATGAATATGATTTATCAGCTACCAAGAGCAGCTTTGCATGAGTGAAACTCCGTTCTCTCCCTATAGCCTTTCCCGATTTCATTTCAGAGATGTTTCACACCATGTTGCAAGATAATTAATAAAATACTTTAGGAATACTGCTAAAGGCAGAACTGGAACAGCTATCAGGTCCTGAGAAGGCTTGGAATTGACATAAACCAAGTATTTTAAAGTGTGATTACTATCACTTGAGGAAGGCCAATGCAAGGGTTGATCCCCACAGAGTTAATTCAGTGCAAGCCACCTACACGTGGTTGCTTCTGAAACAGTACAGTTAATTACCTTAGTCTTTGCCATTTCTACAGCTGCTAGTAAAGTAGCATCTTACTTATGAAAATTCTGTAATACGTATCAAGACACCTGTTAACCCAGAATACATTCTATTGCACATTTAGTAGAATACTTTTAAAAAGTCTGTCTGAAAATTTTTGCCTTCCTTTGTGAAAACTTCAGCCAGAAAAATTCCAGTGGCCAAACTCCTGTTAAGACTGTCAGTCATCCTCATCCAAACCAATGCCGTACAACGGTGTTACTGTGACAGATGTGAAGAATTCTGAATATACATTCTGCTGAATCATCATCAGAAATAATGGCTGTTTTTTTTTTGTTTTTTTTTTTTCTTACTACTGGACTATCTCTAAATGCCTGCTGCAACAGCCATTTGGGTTATCTGAAAGTTTGAAGCATCCTGAAAACAGCTTTCAACAATATTTCAACGTTCAGACAATTAAAAGTTTTGTGACAGCTGTATGGGCACCAACACAGCAAATTTAAGCCTACTTACTTTTCTGGCTGGCTTTCCCTGCTTCTTTCACCGATCCCTTCTAAGGAGTTCAAAATGTTCCCAACAGTTCACAGACCAGAAGTTGAAAAATACTGACACAGGGAAAGGCACAATCTTATTCCTTGCCAGAAAACTGGGGGGTGGTGGTGAATAGTTCAATCAAGGTTTTGGAAAGGTCTTGAAGATCTTTGGGCTGAAGCTAGTAACAAAGCGCAAAGCAGTTATTTCGTGTTATTACAAGACTTCTTGGACAGTAGCTCTGACCTAAACTCACAGCCTGCGGCTTAACGTCAGAGGATTGCAGCCACCAGACGAGGAAATGACTGATCTCTCAACCTTCCTCTTGTTTCCTCTTTCATTTTATTTTTTTTTATTTTTATTTTATTTTTTTCGCAAATTAACCCGGGTGTTTTGCGTGTACCTTACAGTTACCAGCAGCGTGGGTGCTGTTTGCCGAGCTTTACGGAGCGCGTTAAGGAGAGGGCGCAGACCAGCCCGGCTGCCTGGGGAAGGCGCCGAGGCGAGCACCACGTTCACGACCGCCTTTTAAACCGCTCTTATCGCCCGCGGAGCGCCAGCACCTCCGCCGGGGTGAGGAGGCAGGTAGAGGGGGCGAAGGGAGCAGGGAAGGGACGGGGAGAGGCGGCAGCACCGTGCGAGACCCCCACACACACCCCCTGTCCCCCTCAGCCAAGCTGAAGCTACCAGCAGCGGGAGAGCGCGACCCCGACCCAGCGCTCCCCACGGCGAGACTCGCCCCCTCAGGAGAAATCCCCTCAGACGAGATCCCGCCGCCGGCCTCGCACACCGCGCGCTCCGCTCACCTCCAGGCGCTGCCTCCTTCCCGCCCGGCACCGGCCGCCGCCTCCCCTCCCCTCCGCGCCCAAGGTGAGCGCCAGGGGCGCGGGGCGGGCGGCGGCGGGCCGCCAGCCCCCGCCTCCTCCCCGGCCGGCCGCGGGTGAGCGCGGGCGCGGCTGGGACTCGTAGTCCACTCCGCAGCTCCCACCGGGCGCGCCCCCGCCGCGGCCTACAAGTCCCAGAATGCCGCGGGGTCGGGGCGCGCCCCCGCCGACCGCACCGTGGCGGCCGTTAGCGGCGTGGGGCCTGCGGCGTGGGCGCTGCCTCGGGGTAGCTGCCTCGGGGTAGCTGAGGTGTCGCCCTCCAGCCCTCCCTTTGGGATGTATATGCGCACGCACGACATAGCTAATATGAATATATTCACAATTTAAATGTAAAAATATACCTAGGGAGCATGGGGTGGGCACTGGCTGGCAGTGATGCAGTAGGCAGGACGTGGCCTGGTTGGTTTTGTTGCGCGGACGTGGGGTACGCAGTGTTGTTTGTTCAATAAACCCCCAGTTGGGTTGTCCCGAAATTGCAGTGAAGAAGCCTCAGGATTTACTGCCTAAAATTAATTTGGAAGCAGACATCCATGCTCTGGCCTTTAAGAAATTAGGTATATACACCAGGCATCTGAGATGCGTGCCAGTCATGTAAATGCAAAAATAGAAATTTCTGAAGGATTTCATGTTGATTGAACACTTCAAGAGACTTACTTACAATTATTTTTCTTCGTTTTTAATGAGGAGCATATTTTTGCCAGCTCTGCTGTCTGAGAAGCACACGTGTCAGCTGGGGCCTCAGAATGATCGGTCTCACAAGTGACTGGATATAGTGTTTTATTTCTTTAGGGATGCAAATGATATGGATCAATTTCCTTGTGAATACACAGGAATTAGTAGTGAAATATCTACACAGATCTCATCTTTCAGTCCTCGCTTTATAAAAGTTTTCCAGCATAATTATAGCTCTCTCTCTTGCCCAGGAGAAAATGTTTTCCCACCTCTCTGATTCTTAGAGATTTGGTTTTTGTGTATAGAACTCGTAGGAAAAAAAATTTTAGAATTCTTACAGACTAAGAGCATGAAAAAAAACTGTAAATCCGGTGTCTACAGGTATATACTATTTTGTAAACCTTAAAATGATTCCTGGACATGTTAGCCCTTGATAGAGTTTAAGAGTAGCAAATAAAATTTAAATTAATTCAAGCTGAAATACAGTAATTTAAATGTCAATATTGTCAAACTGAGAAATTTCAAGCTCAAAACATTTTAAAAAGTTTCATTTTAAATAAGAGGTTTGTTATAACCGGTTTTATCCAAAGTAGGCTGTAACAAAAAGGCATTTTGATGAACAATTTCAGAGTGATATATTAGATATATCACATAGGTCAGACTTCATGTGGAATGGTGCTGGATGCCACTGTTATACAGAACTGGGTAAATGGAGATACTTGGGGAAAGACTTCTTTTTTGATTCATATTTATTTATCCAAAAAGCTATTTTTTTCTGAACTTGGGCATCTGTAACATTTTAGGATGCAGGTGTAATTACCTTATGAAGGTGTGGCATCGCCATTGATGTACTGAAGTTCTGAAATGCTTTATTGCCAGTAAAGCATATATTGCAGTAACATACCACAGACACACCTGTGCTTATACAACCTGCACAAAGAGGAGGGAGAGGAGAAAGCCTGAAACAAACATGGGAATATCAGATTGCCTGCTAGAAAAATCTGCAGAGATATAAATCATTTTGAATGGTACAATAATCCACACTGTGGATTATGTTACACTAATTGTGTCAATGGTTGCATTTAAATACAAGCTGGTTTTAATTTCTCATGCGCATTTTAGCATGACCCTCTGGGAAAGTTAATAGATCTTTTTATTGCTTCTTTCCATCATTGTCTAAAATGGTAAAAGATACTTCTATTCATCAGCTCTGAGAGGAGGGCAGGGATTAATATAATGCTGAAGTCAGTAGGAACAAGATGAAAAGAGGATTTTTGGTCAAAACAAAAAAAGGGAGGGGAAGTTAGTACAGAATAAACAATATGGACAGTTGGAGAGACTAAAAAAACTCTTGTGGAGGATAATTGGGGGAAATTAGTTAATGGCACACACACCAATGGAGCTGTATGATGACAGAGGGCCCAGTGTGAGCTTTGAGGGCTCAGCCGGCTCACGGGGTGGAGCAGCGGGAGCCATTGCTCTCCAGCAGCATAAGGAAAGTTGTGAGGCACTGTCAAAGGCCAGATCCACACTCACAGCTGCTTAGAGCTCCAGTCGTTGGGCTGTTTAGTTCTCAATGTCCTCAGACAGCCGCTGGTAGTGAGTATGGGCACAGGAACCAGCTGAAGGGCTGGGGAGTATGGAGACTTTTGATGCTTCTGGTTGTCTCGTTGGCACGAACATCCCATTCGGGACATCCCAAATTAGCAAACTGGGTCAGATGGGCTCCATCAACTGGGTCTCAGCCGCTCCCTAACTCTCAGAGTTCTAATAATGAGACAACTTCCTAAGGCAGAAAAAAACCCTGTATGTATTTGGGCATGGAGTCTTACGCATGTTCTAGGACAGGTTAAACCAGCTGAATTAGTAAAGTTGAAATTGTTTCCAGATTGAAGTGAAATGTGTTTAGATTTACAGGGATTTTCCCACGGTTTCGTTCTCAAAGTGCTCCTGTTATTTAGTTACTACCCACATCCTATATAGGTACATTAGTCATGCCAAGCTTTCTTATTGTCCATAATAACACAGTTATTCTAGCAGAGGCCCAAACATGAGGACATTTTCCTTTTTACCATGTGAAGTACCTTGAAAGTGGCTGAACTCAAATCCTTTAAAACATCCCTTGCGAAGGGGGTGATTTTAAATGAGCTAAGTTGGGTGTCAAGTCATGAATATAAACCAATTGAATGGCTCTGCATGTTTTCTAGCACACCTGGAGCAATATGGTATCAGCAGAAGGCTGGCGTGTATGTGCACAGTCAGTATGCAGTGAAGGAGAGACCCGGTGCTATCAGCCATCTCTCGAGGTATCAGCCATAGCATCCTAATGCAGAAGCAGCCCTGAAACCTGACTGCCCAGTACCTCCCAGAGTCCTGCCTTTGGCCTGGAGGCAATCAGGGAAGCAGCCCAGCCCTCTGAAACTGTTTCTCTGCCACTACCTCTTTCATGGATCCCCCCTGAGCAGCACAACTCAAAAGCACAACCATATCCTCCTATTTTTTTTTCCTTTTTTTTTTTTTTCTAAAGGAGCTTAGAAAACTTGTTTTCTTTCAAAAGAAATACAAATTCCAACTATAAACCCAACATTTATCTTCATCCTCCAGTGCAGTATTCCTCCATCCCTGAAATACCATTTTTACTGGGCCCCTCCTTGATGGGTGCCAGCTCAAACTCTCCCCATCAGGATCTGTGGTAATCAGCCATGCATGGGCCTAGGTCCTTAAGCTTGGTGCCAGCTTGGTCCCTTCAGCTGAAGCAAGAAGATTATGGGAAAAAAAAAAAATCATAAATCAGTAACACAGGAGGACACTAGACAGTTTGTCCACATCACCCTTATGACTTTTGCAGCCTCATACCTCACGGCTGTTTCCTCCAGCAGCAGATCCACCACCTATGGATGGTGGGTGCTCTGTCCACTCCTTCACAGGAGATGTGCTGCAAGTGGTTGCATGGTCTCAGCTGCTCCAGATTGCTAACAGCCCTTGAAGAGCTCTTTAGGTCTGCACTTAAGGTAGGCAAGCCCTTTTGCTGATCTCATTTGGTTTTGAGGCTCCCTCACCAGCTGAGGACTAAGGTGGCTCCCCTCTACAGCTAGCTTGTTTCTGTTACTCCGGTGTTGAGTCATGTTTAGTTAAGCCTCACTACAGAGCTGAACTGTGTGGTTTATCTGCTGTACCTTGCTGCTTGTGTGTGGTCCTTCCTGCATCCATCTGCAGGGCTTACAGAGCCTTACACCGGCTTTCTGCTTGGATAATAATCAACCCCCGTTCCCCATTGATGGATAAATGATGAGGTGATGCTGTGGCAGCATTTCCACCCAGTGACATCTGCCCTGAAGGGTTAGCAAGTAAATAAAATACAGATCCATGTTTATGGCTGTTGTCATGTCTCTTTCCAAATGTTTTCCTTTCTAGACTAAACAAACCAACTCTCTACTTGGAAGCTCATGGTTTCAAGGGTCCTGTTTCTGCTGCTGTACTCTACAATCTCTCCAACTTGTTTACGTTTGTATTTAAGTGAAGGGCTGAACAGCTGACAATTGTCTCTACTTTACCAGTCCTGGCAGCTGTATATATATATTTTTACAGTGTTTTACCATAAACACTTCTATTGATACAATGCAAAAATGACATTTCTTAAACTGCTTTACACTGTTGATTGTCCCCCTATAATTTTGCCAGATATTTACTCACTTTGGGTGCTGGTACCTTGCTCTTTGACAATGTCTTTTCCTCAAGTGTATTTGCTGTGTTATTTAATTTCTACCCATTTCTCTAAATTGTCAAGTTCATGCAAAGCGTAATTAAGTCTTTCAAAATACTTGTGCTGTACTCATTTCCTCCCATTAAAGTAATGTTACCACCTTTGGATGAAACAAGCTCAAGAGAAGAACATTTAGGCAATATTATGAGAATTTCAGGTTTTGGTTATTGCAGGAACTTTAGCTGGTCAGAGCTTCATCTTCCTGTATTTTTAATTTCTCTTATGTTCTCCTTATTCTACTGGAACATGGATTAATGAGCTGATAGGAGAAAGGAGGAAGACTATAAGGCATAATAAAAGTTTCAGTTTTCATAGCCATGCCTGCCAAAGTTTTATACCAGTAGATAAGCTTATTAGTACATTTTATAGCAGTGTCACTGTTTTATTGCCATTGATTATGTGCTGTGTCACCCTTGCTATTTTAACAACAATATAATGTCAGATGACTTATTGTTTTCAG